TTGTCTGTCTGTTGTTTGCACCTGCAGTGAGCAAAACATCCTGGTGTGAGTGTGTGGTAGAGGACCTGCTCATCTCAGCGCAGCTGGGAAGCAAGATAGGAACAGGAAGGGGCTGGGTCCCAATGTCCTTGTCAAGGACACAGCCAAGAGATCTGAATTCCTTCCACAAGAGCTCAGATTCTAAGGGCTTCGTTCCCCACCCCCAGCACCAAAACTTCACACATGGCCTTTGGGGAACATTTATGACTCAGGCCAGTATGAGCACTCAGTGAATGGAATGGTGACCACAGTGAAGAATAATGGCATATTAGAAAGTTACTTTGGAAAAACAACAATTCAATGAACAGAAAATGAAGAATGCAATGAGAATTAAGTCTCCTTTAATACAGAACAGCATTAGGGCAGAAATTTATGAAAAGAATCAAATAAGAAATTTGGAGAATGAAAAGTACATTAACTAAAATTAAAAAGGCTTGAACAGCAGATCTGTGCACCACAATTGTTTGTTGCTTGTTAAGCTTGGAATTACATCTGTGGTTTTACATTAATTTAGACAATTATTTTGAAAAATTTTGTTTTAAAGAGAGTGTAGTCATAATTGATATGAAGTTAGAAATGGTACACATTACAAGATCAACATGACAGCTATTCAGTTATGGTTTCTGTTCGACACATTACTGTACTTGATGTATTTGCTTAGATCGCAGATATCAGCATACAGAGTTATTCAAGGTGAAAATTCTACACATTAATGCTATTTTCCAAAAAGCTGATGGATATTTTTAGTACAATCATCCCAGCCATCCTGGATATATACTTTCATGTTTTTTTCCCCTGCCTTTTTTTATTATCTTTTCTCCTTTCTCTCCTATTCATTTATCAATGCTTAAGTTCTGTTTGTATTTTACTGTATCTGTCCTGCATTTTAAGTTTTATTTCTTCTTTCAGGTTTTTACAATAGAGAGAACACAATATTTATACATGTGGATCTGGTTTATTTCACTTATGAGTACAGCTTCTAGTTGCATCCACTTACCTATGAGGGCTTCAAGTTTGTCTTTCTTTATAGCTGAGTAATATTCCATTGTATAAAACTAAAACATCTTTTTCATTCATTCTTCAGGTGATGGGCATTTTGGTTGCCTCCAAGATTTGGCTATGACAAAATGTGCTGCTATAAACATGGGTGCACATATATCATATGGTGCAATGTTTTCAGTTCTTTTGGGAAAATAACCATAAGGAGAATAGCTGGATTAAATGGAATGTCCAATGCTAGTTTTTTTTTTTTTTTTAGGAGTCTCCACACTGATTTCCATAGTGGTTGTACCTGTCTATATTCCCACCAGCAGTGGAGAAGGGTTCCTTTTTCCTTGCAGATTCTCCAGCCTTTATTATTGGTTGATTTCTTTATGATAGCCATTCTTTCTGGGGTGAGATGGTATCTTAATGCTGTTTTAATTTGCATTTCTTGCATGTTCAGTGATGTGGAACATTTTTCAGTTATTTATTTGCCTCTTCTATTTCTTCCTCTGAGAAATATGTATTCATCTCAGATGCCCATTTTGAATTGGGTCTTTAAATTTTGGGACACTAACTTTTTTTTAGTTCTTTATATATTCTAGATAGAAGACCTTTGTCTGAGTGATTATTAGTAAAAATTTATTCCATATTTGTGGGTTGTCTTTTCACTCTATTGGTAATTTTCTTTGAAGTGCAAAACTTCTCAATTAGAGGAGGTGCCAATTGTTGATTCTTTGAAGTATTTCCCATGCAGCTTGATTTTTGTTCATGAACTGCCTGTCTACCTCTATGTCTTCAAGATTTCCACCTGCTTTCTCTTCCAGGAGATTTACTATTTCTGTTTTAATGTTTAGATCTTTAATCCATTTTGACTTTAGTTTAGTGCATGGTGATAAACCCGGATCTAGCTCTAATCTTCAGCATATGGAGAGCCAGTTTTTCCAGCACCATTTGTTGAAGAGGCTATCTTTCTTCCAGTGAACATGTTTGGCCCCTTTGTCAAGTAGAAGATGGCTGAATATCTTTGTAGTTGGATCTGCATCTTCTAATTTGGAATGGACTATTTAAAGGAAGAAAAGTGATCAAATCGTAAGACCCTCATGGGACAACCTCCAGCATACCAATGTGCACTTCTCAGGAGTTGCTGAAGGAGAGAAGTGGGAAAGAATAAAACAATTTAAAGCATTCACGGCCAAAACCTTCCTAGTTTTAACACAGTGCATGTGTCTAGACTTTCAAGAAACTCATACACCCCATGCAGAATAAGCTCAGTGAGAGCTGCATGGAAACACATATAATCAAACCACTGTATGTTAGAAACAAAATCTTGAGTGCACTCAGCCAGGGTAACAGTTGATTCTCACCAGAAATGGTGGAGGTCAGAGAGAATGCAATGGAACACTGAAAGTCTGGTGTGGGGGAGCCACCCCTAACCAGAAGAGTTTACACCTCCAAAATTATACTTCGACATGACAGTGAATGCAGCACATTTACAGATACACACAAGCTGGGAAATGAATTGCTACGAGACTCGCCTTGCAAGAGATGCTAATCCAGGGGGAAATAAGCTGGCTCTAGACAGTAACTTGAAGCTATGGAAAGGATGGAAGAGCCACAGTAAAGGTGTCAAGTCGGAACATCAGGGTGTTCATAGGGATTTGCTCACTACAACTTGCTTATCCCATTAACACTACTCTTTACAATCTTTTTGTTTATACAAGGTCAGTGCTGATGTTTGTCTTTCATTTTTAATCAGTGTAGCTAAAAGCTTTTTCAATTCTGTTATTTTTTTCAAAGAACCAAAAATTGACATCATTGACTCTATTGTTTTCTATCCTCTGTTTTATTTACCTGTATGTTAACCCTTATTTTCCTTCTTCTGTGGGCTTTAGATTTAGTTTGCATTTCCTTTTGTAATTTCTTTATGTAGAAAGTTAAATTGCTGACTTGAGATCTTTTTTGTAGAATGTAAAGTTCAAACAGGTCAAGTTCTCTGAGTGCAGTTTTCACTGCATCTCACAAGATCTGAGTTTTTGTGATTTCTTGTCTTTCATTTCAGTGCATTTTTCATCATCCATTTGAGTTCTTCGACCCAGTGGTTGTCTGTGGTTGTCTGAGTGTTGTTTAATTCACCCATATTTGTGAATTCCAGTGTTTTTTCTGTTTGAATTTGTAGTTTCTTTCCATTATGATCAAGAAGATCATTTGTATGCTTTCAGCTGAGTTTAAATTGCTGAGCCTGACATCTAGAGAATGCTGCACCCTACTGTGATTTCCTACAGTGCTTCGTGTGTGTCTGTTGTCCTGGTTAGTGTGTGCTGTTCTTTTTT